TGAATGAACAATTTTCAAAAATAGTTTTAGTAGTAAAGACATTGTGCAACTGACTTCTAAAGTTGGGTTCAACTTCAACAGCCGGACTAACTGTACCACTGTTACTTTCCCAACTGCAATTAATAAAATGAACGTAATTGTATGCTTGTAGTTGCTTTTCTAGATCCAGTGCAGTGCAGTAAACCAACACTCCCCCTCCATAGTAACCGGTGTTGTGTGTAATGGTTGTGTCCATGATTGTTACATTGTTATTGTATGGCATGTTTCCAGAATGAAGAGCAATACCTGTAGCTAACCCAGCACCGCCAAAAGAAGGAATAGTGAGGGAATTGTAGCAGAAGAAACTATTTTTAACTATTGCAGTGTTATCATAACAATGTTTTTCACAATGAAGTATCATTCCTCCACCAACACTGGCTTTATTACTAGTAAAATTGGAGAGTTCTATATGGAAAGTATTCCCTTGCACATTCCATATTAACAGAATGCCAAGTCCACCTCCATAACTAAATAGCCAATCCCTACTACTCATACTTGTAAGGATATTGGTGTTGTTACTAAACTTTGTACCCTGTATGATGTAATTAGCTGATGTTGATGCATGAGAGCAGTTCTTAGCTGTGACATCACAAGCTGATATCAGTATCATTAGACCAGATCCACCATGAACTATGATATCACTTAAATTCTGTAACGCATGTGGTATAGAATTGTTTGCAAAAGTACAATTTGTTATATCAATAGTCCCAGCTGAATTGATTAATAGCAAACCAGTACCAATACTATCAACTATTTTTACAGTGTTCAGTAGTATATTAGTAGTTGAATTGATTATAATGCCAGATCGATAGAGATATGTACCCTTTGCATTTAATTTGTGTAGCATAGAACACCCAAATACACTTACATTGTTGAAGGTGACATTTTGACAATCCTTAATAATCAAACCACAGCTATCATCTTGAGGGCGGCACACACAATTAATAGCAGCCATTTCTTTACTAGTAGATAAAGAGGTAAAAGTCAAGTTGCGTATCAGATTTATTTCAATGAGATGATCCAACACAATACTTCCCTCAATGATGATAACCGTGTCATTCTTCATGTGAGATATATTTGAAAGAGACGAGCAGGGGGATACAGAAGAGCCACACGGAGCTTTATCAGATCCATTATACGAGATGTATATCTCAGTGAGAGCCTGTACATAAGCCACTAGTGAAGAGACAACGAATACAAGCAGAAAGGTACGAGCGCTAGTGGTTTTCATGTTCGCAGTGTCAGCTCAAATTGCAAAATCTATGCATAACAACATTAATATAGCCAGATCCTAGTCAGGCGTGGCCTGACCCTTGCGAAAACGGAGGGTCAGGAACCTCGTATACCAGTCTTGTTAGCTGCTGCAGAAATTCTGCAGTGACGCATTGTGACTTGCTATGACTATGTAACTTTAATAATCATTAATAATACTAGGCGAATGTAGAACATTGAAGGGGCGAGCACAAGCTAGCATGGCAATATACAATGTTTAGATGTCACAAAGGCTAATGTTGTTGTCAAATTGTAACTTGAGTGATACACATGCAGAGCAGCTCAGAACTTGTGACTTGCATGCATGAAAGGAAATTTTATA